AAATAATTGTACCATGCATTTACATTTGAGATTTTTTTAGACGAGGAAACTGTTAAATTGAGGTACTGAAAAACTTGGATTTAAATTAATTAATATTTGTAAAGATCTGTCCGAATTAATAAGATTTTAAAAATCTCATGTTACTGTAACCTTCGAAAAAAAACTTAAATCTGATGTTAAGACTATATGACAATTCTAAATTTTCAAATTACAATATAATTTTTTTTTTTTTGAGAAGAAGTAAGCAAATGCTGCATTCATGCGGGGCTGACCATGTGATATCTAACAACTATATAATATATTGGAAAGTACCAAACCCATTTTCATCGATGTTTTTAAAATATTACCTTACATTTACGCCATCTTTCGTGCTGATAGTTATTCAGAATAATTTCGTACCAAATTTGAGGTCAAATTTACCCGCTAAATATGGCTATACAAAATGCTAGGCTTTTGCTCTGTCCTCGAATTTAACCTCATGCGAAATGGCGTGTCGATTGGTCTTTAATTGTGACCTGTAGAGCGTCTGCAAAATCAAGAAAATGTTCAATTTTTGATCCATTTAAACCCCTAAATATTTTGCGAACATCTTTAACAACAATAGGCTTCTATCCTGACCCTAACCCTTCCCTCGTGAAAAATTTCGTAAAGATCCGAAGATAATTGCGATCTGTGTATAATACGCCATAATTTTTACATTTTTTAAAATTTTACTGAATGAAAGCAAAAAATGTCGAAAATAGCATCAAATTTTAGAATACGTTTAGATTTGTTCGAATTGATCACAATTGACACGAATTACGGCCTTCAAATGGCCAATGAAACCGTCACACGCTGCCCGAATGTTGCTCTGCGGTATTTTGGCCCATTCCCGGCGAAGCGCTTGCTTGAGGTGATCGACACTTTGGTATTTTTTAGTGCCAACCTTGCTTTCCTAAACGCTCCAGACACAACAGATTGGTATTCGGAGATTTTGGTGGCCATTGTGCGCTGGAAATGGTGCTGAGTCCTGTTGGAATGTCCAAGTTCTGCGGCCAAAATGTTTGCGTGCCCATGGCTTTAATACGCCCTCCAGAATGTTTCGGCATTTATTCTGATGCCACGGTCGATTAATTCCAGCGGAGAGCGACCATCGGCTGTTATGGCGGCCCACACCATCACCATGGCCGGCGCTTGAGTTCTGGTGGCCAACCGAAGTTGCACTTTTTCAGCTGACCTCTTTGGCAATTAAACACGATCATTTTCTTTGTTTACAAACTGCTAGACAACGAATGTTATCTCATCGGAGAAAACCAAATTCGGCAGTTCACCACTTTCGACCAAACGAAGCAACTCTTTAGCTCTTTTGAGTCTATTTTTTTATGTTGCGGTGTAAGTTCTTGCACTTCTTTGGAATTTTAATGGCTCATTTTCTGATTTTTGCCGAATTTTTCAATATTTGTAGAATGGAATATTGCGATATGTTCAGCTGACAAGCCATTTTTTGGCCACTGTGATTGCGGGTTTCGATCAAGTTGCTTCTTTACTTTTCGAACCATTTCTGCTGATGTTGCTGTTTTCTTCCGTCCACTTTTTTGACGTCGGGTTACGCTACCAGTATCACGGTAACGAGCGATGGTACGAGACACAAAAGATTTATTCACATATAAATGCTGGAGTTCTCTAATAATAACCGCTTGTGGTATTCCAGCCAAATATAAAGAAATCAAACTATCACGCTTGAATTCCATCACGAATAACTTTTTTTCTGGAAAACTCTCACCAAAATGCTTTTGTACGCTTTTAAACAATATAATGAGCTGTCACTGGAATAATTTTAACAGCTATCGGACGAGTGACTTAGAAATGACAGCAGTCTGAAGTTTTTTCATCTCACCCTGTATAATTTTCAAATAGTTACAAACGAAAGGAATGACAAAGTTAATGTACCCTATATATAGGGATAGTTTTTTTTTTTTTTGCACAAAATGGCTAATAAGAGCCCAAATGGACTGTATTTTGGAATGCCCGATATAGCAATAGCTCTCATGTGTATGTTTCATCCGATTTGGTGTTAAAGTCCCTCGCATGCGTAATGCACTCCGCAACAATGATATTTGATCAAATTTCATAGAGACCTGTTCAGATTTTTATATACCTTCGAAATACATCTTCATCCGAGCTTAGACTTATTGTCCACCATACATGTTATATCAGCTCAGATTGGATAGATTTATTCATATTCAACCGATTTTTTTTTAATGTGACGAAACTCGGTCCTGTATATCTATTGCTCCAATAAATATTTATAACCTACAACACTATGTGTTGGCGGTGTTATAAGTTTGATTGGGCCAAAAATAAAACACCTCGAAATATTGGTTTTCCACATAGGAAAGTATATAAGAATTTTCCGATCTCGTCGAGCTGAGTTGATCTAGCTACTTATGTCTTTCCGTCCGTCTATCCATGTTAATTTGTAATCACTCCACAGGTCGCAATTAAGGCCCGATCTTCACCAAATTTAAAATGGAGGTGGGGCTAAAGCCAGAATAGAACCCTACTGCTTTGGAAATGATCACATAATATTTAGGGATTGAAATTAGCCCCCGTCAAATTGATTGAAAATCGATTCAGAGTTGGATATACTTCCCAAATTGTGACTACTCTAAAACCATGATACGCTATCAAATAAGGTTCGTACAGGGTTACCCATATTCGACGGACCTTTGGGCCCATTCCACGAGGCTTGTCCGCAGGCAACATTCTTTGTGTCAATTGAATTTTGTACGGGAACAAATGCAAATCAATGCGAATAATCCGTTGTAAAGTGGACCGAGCCATGCCCAACTGCTGAGAACGGCGTTTTTGGGATGTTCTTGGGGACCTCTCAACACTGGCCCGTACGGCAGCGATATTCCCGGCCGATCGCCTTGGTCGACTTTTATATGGCCTCTTCGGATTAGAAAGAGCCTTCGTATTAACGCTTAATGGTGTTCATAGAAGGCGCACTTCTCAAATTTTTTATGTTTTTAAAGCACGTTGAGTTTTCACAATTGACTTCTTCTGTTGAATGTAAATTTCAACTATTTCAGAGCGCTCGCGTGGCGTGTATTGGTTCATGGTAAAAATCTGCTTGGACTGCCGCTTCAAACGCGGTATGTCATTAAGCGATGTGACATCTCTGTCAAAAGTTATGGCGGTGCCAGATGGGTCCGTCTAATATGGGCAACCCTGTACCTTCGAAATACATCTTCATCCGAGCTTAGACTTATTGTCCACCATACATGTTATATCAGCTCAGATTGGATAGATTTATTCATATTCAACCGATTTTTTTATGTGGCGAAACTCGGTCGTGTGTATCTATTGCTCCAATAAATATTTATACCCTACAACACTATGTGTTGGGGGTATTCTAAGTTTGATTGGGCCAAAAATTATGTAACACCTCGAAATATTGGTTTCCCATATAGGAAAGTATATATGGATCTTCCTAGCTCGTCGAGCTGAGTCGATCTAGCTACTTATGACCTTCCGTCCGTCTGTCCATGTTAATTTGTAATCACTCCACAGGTCGCAATTAAGGCCCGATCTTCACGAAATTTAGAATGGAGATGGGACTAAAGCAAGAATAGAACCTTGCTGCTTTGGAAATTATCGCATAATATTTAGGGGTTGAAATTAGCCCCTGTCAAATTGGTTGAAAATCGATTCAGAGTTGTACCCAATATGTGACTACTCTAAAACCATGATACGCAATCAAATAAGGTTCGTAGTTGGTATTTTCTACCTCACATAAATTCCCAATATGAATTTTTTTTGTTACGGGAGCTCTACTTAATACATATAGAGGTGTAGGGTACCATATAGTCGACCCCTCCCGCCTTTTGACATTTGATTACTGGTCACTGATTTTTATTGTTTCGAAATCTGGCGTAAAAGTTACTGCCTGCACTTGGGATCTGTTCAGATAAATATAGAGCATTTATAAAAGATTATTTTGATGTTCCAAAATTAATTTGACATTTTAAAGCCCCCCTTTCAAGAACAAATTCGGGCAAACCCTGTTTCTGGCTTACTAAATCCTTTACACAATTGTTAAATATAATAGCTCATGGCAATATTAGCCATTGATGCCATATTCATATTTATTCACTAAAAATCCAGCCTAAGCCCTGTCAATATATAATCATGCATGCCTTCCTCCTTTGCATAAGGCATAGTCTAGGAAGTGAATATCACAGTTTTCGTAAATTTTTCGAAAACTACAAATTACACCCCAGGGTGGCGTTAGATTTTCAAGGTGTTTACTTTTCGTATTTTGCTGTTCCCATAACAGACCGCAGTTGTCACTGCTGGAGCGGCAGCAACAGCAGTTATTCACGTTTACCTTGGCTATACAACACAATTCCACTTTATCATTTTTGTGCTTTGCAAAATGTGTTAATTGCTAACTTGAGTACCGCGTTTTTTTGCTCGTTGTTTGTTTTTTGGATGGGTTTGACTTTAAATTTGCCGCAGATTTCATATTGTAGCCAGTTTCAGCTTTTTGTTTTGCGCTTGTGGTTTCTTTTTTTGCCACCAGCAGACACTTTAAGTTGTCGTCCTTACACAAGAAGAAAAAGAGAAAAGAAAATCCTAGGTAAGTTGTAGACTTTTCATGGAAATTCAAATAAAAGTGAAGTCCTCGGGACTGCATGGCATTCGTTTAAAATGCGGCAGTTGTCCAGCCGCCACACAAGTGTGGCTGTGCAGTTGTTGGCATTGCACAAGAATCTTGATGTTTAGAACTGCACTGAACTACACTGATGATGGCCAGAACGACAAACTAACTCCCAAGGAATGAGTGAGACTGAAGGTGCGGTTGTGTGTATAGTTGCTTTGCCTTCTGCCAAGATTCAGTTGCAAATAATTTGAATTTTATCCCAGACTCATTGCCGTGTTTCCCCCAACTAACAATTCACAATTTGTAATATTTTTTGTCGTCTTTCCTTCTTTATTTTTTTCCCACCGCACAGCACGGATACTGCAGAATCATGGAGATTTGCAAATTCTGATGTCATTCCGGCGACTGGAATTATGGTCTTTGGTAAGTACAAGGTTATCGCCTTGAATTATATAAGTACCGATAGCTGAAATGCTTGGGAATTTTGTATGGACGCTTTTATGGCGCTGAGCAATATTATTGGGTCATTGTTGAGATGAACAAAAAAAAAAAACGTTTTGCAGAAAAGAGAAATACTTGACAGATTTAGACCATACAAAATAATTACATTGAAATGGATCGAATCCGGGTTGTAATTGATTTCATTATATATTTAAAAGATGATTAGTAATTGTGTAAGTGATACCATTTTTCACGAAGGTTTCTCAAGGATTTTTGAAATTTTGAAATGGTTGAATGTTAGACAAATACATATATTTAGAATTCTTCTGGCAATTGTCTATCCCAAGATTTTAGCTAAAAGTAACAAGAAGCCCCCTTATATCCGAATCCATATTGGAAGATTTCGCTTTTGAAATTAGGATTTTAACTAGGGACATTTCACCAATATTTATGCACTCCGTCGGGCTGTTAGTTATTGTGGTCCATTTTACAGCTAAATATAATCCAATGGTCATCCAAAATGCTAGAATTTTTGCCTGTCCTTAACTCTTTTCACAGTCGTGTCAATTGTCTTCAAATGTGTGATCGGAAAAACATTTATGTTTTTGGTTAATTTGAACCCCTAAATATTTTGCAATCATCTCCAAAAACAAGAAGCCCCTCTTATCATCAAATTTAGACTCATCTATATGATTTGCTTGTCTACGACATTTGCTTATATTCGTCAACGAAATCAGCATAAAAACCAGTAAGGAAAGCTCAAAAGTCGGGCGGGCCCGACTATATGATACCCTACACCACTATGCATATTAAGTAGAGCTCTCGTAAAAAGGTTTATACAGGGCATTTCAGAGCTCTATGAGATATTTGGTACAAAATCAAAATCTATCTAATTCTATCGTGCATTTTACGAACTATAGCTATCTCTGAACCGGGTTTCTCCAAATTTGACGTATTAGCTTCTAATTTCGGTTATGTACGAACATTCAGGTGATTTGGGCTGATATTGACCATTTAGTGCACATTTAACCCGAAATCGGATGAAGATATATATGTTAGCTATATCCAAATCTGAACCGATTTCGATAAAATTTAAAACAGCTATTTCTGGGCTGTATCTAATATCTGGTACCAAATATCATTCTTGTGGAGTGCATATTACGAATGTGAGAGGCTTAAACACCAAATCGGATAAAACATATATATGGGAGCTATAGCTGTTTCTGAACCGATTTTCTCCAAATTTGTTGTATTTGCTTTAAGGCTAATCTCGGTCACATGTGCCAAAATTCGGGCCATTTAGGCTGATATTGGCCATTTGGTGGTCAATTAACCCGAAATCGGATGAAGATATATATGGGAGCTATATCCAAATCTGAACCGATTTCGATAAAATTTAAAACAGCTATTCCTGTGCTCCATCTAATACCTGGTACCAAATATCACGGTTGTGGAATGCATAGTAGGAATGTGAGGGACTTAAAGATCAAATCGGATAAAAGATATATATGGGAGCTATAGCTTTATCTGAACCGATTTTCTCCAAATTTGATATACTTGCTTCTAGGCCGAACTCGGTTGGGTGTGCCAAAATTCAGGTAATTTGGACTGATAGTGGACATTTGGTGCACATTTAACCCGAAATCGGATGAAGATATATATGGGAACTATATCTAAATTTAATCCGATTCTCACCAATTTCAATAGGGTTCGTCCTTGGACCAAAAAAAAATTGTTTGGAAAATTTAATCTCAATCGGATAATAAATGCGACCTGCATTTTGTTCACAAGAATACATGGACAGACGGACGGACGGACGGACAGACGGACTGACATGCATAAATCGACTCAGAAAGTGATTCTAAGAAGGTTCTCAAAAGTAACAATGGGTCTATCTCGTTTCCTTCTCCATGTTACAAACAAATGCACAAAGACATAATACCCTTACCACTATGTGGTGTAGGGTATAAAGACAGAAGCTCGCCTTTTGTGTATTTCGAATATCGCCTGTAAATAATGCTGGTATCTTTTACACAAAATCAGTGGTCCATTCTACCCGCTGTCCTAAGCTCTAACTTTATGCGAGATTTTATTTGTGACCTTTATAACGGCTGCAAAACCAGGAACAGTTTTAGTTGTTGGTCCATTTCAACCCCCCAAATATATTGCGGACATCTTTGAAAGCAATAGGCCTAGCCCATCTGACCCTAACCCTACCCTTGTAAAAATTTTTGAGAGGATCGGACGATAATTGCAATCTGTATATAATATCCCCAACCTGTGTTGTAAGGTGAAAAAATATTACAAAATATACACTTTAATATTATAAGTCAAATTGAAAAAATCGCATGCGATAAAAAATATAAAAAAATAAAAAAAATGCCACAAAATACTACTAAATCTATATTAACATCACTATTGGCATATTTTTCTGCGATTTTTTTGGATTTTATACTTTTATGTCAAGAGGGCATTCGGAATTGACAAAATTTGTTAAAATCGGTCAATATATTTACTATCGGCATCTATGTAACAGTCAGAATAGACCTGTTCGTCTATTTGTGATTTCGCCGTGTTAAAAATATTCGCGGTTTAATGAAAAATTTGACTTTTATTTAACACAAATGTTGTGCCTATTTCACCCACTAAATATTACCCGATGACCATCAAAATTGGAAGGCTTCTGCCCAGCCCTAGGCTCTAGCCCCATGCTAACTTCCGCTTTGATTGGTCTATAATTGCGACCTGTAGAGCAACTGCAAAATCAGGAATTTTTTCAGTTTTTGGTCCATTTCAATATTATGCGATTATCTCCAAAAGAAATAGGGTTCTATTCTGACCCTAGCCCCACCTCCAATCTAAATTTCGTGAAGATCGGGCCATAATTGCGACCTGTAGAGTGATTACAAATTAACATGGACAGACGGACAGACGTTAAAGCCTTTTGGTACCTTTATTCTACATGCCACCATTGACTATCCGTTTTGAATTCTACCTCCATCCATTCACCCAATACAAATGGTACATTATAGTACTTAAAGTAATTTTCTCACTTTTATAGGACGAATTTCCAAAACCTTTTTTACTGCATTTATTTCTAACATCAAAAAACCTACGTATAAAATTTTAGAGCTATATCATCTTCCAGTCGCTTAATACCAACGGTACCATAGTTAGAACTTTTTTATACTATTCGTACCCATATAGCACGAAAAGAATTGTCAATATAGATTTGGTATATCCCCCATATAAATATACCTTCTTATATTTGGTCTTTTGATGGTAATGGGTACAACAGCGTGTGACAGAAAATTTGCATATGTATGACCTGGTCATCGTATATATTCCCCATATAACGGTATCTCAGTATATTCGGTATTTTGATCAATTTAGCGACATTTTGCACCTTCTTTGTTTCATGTTGAATATCGTAATGGCCTACGACAAAAATTGCATATAAATTTCCACGTTTTCGTATCGGCCCCCAATATAGCGATATCTCCCTAAATTCGGTATTTTTATACCCTCCACCATAGTATGGTGGGTATATTAAATTTGTTATTTCGGTTGTAACACCTCGAAATATACATTGTAGACCCCGCAAAGTGATTTAGCGATGTCCGTCCGTCTGCGAAAATCACTCTAGCTTCCGAACGAAATGAAGTAGGTTGATAACATTTTACTCAAATGTGTATTATGTTTGCAGGACTTTTGGTATTGAAAATGGGTCATGCAGGTCCAGGTTTTGTTATAGTCCCCATATAATGGCACCTCCCTTTTTTTGGTATTTTGGTGCTTTAAGCGACATTATTGCGAAATGCGAACTGTACTTTGTTTACAAAAATACATGGACAGACGGACGGACGGACAGACGGACATGCATAAAACTACTCAGAATGTGATTCTATGCAGATCATCAAAAGGAACTGTGGGTCTATCTCGTTTCCTTTTGCCTATTACAACCAAATGCACAAAGACACCTTATGGTGACCACCTTGTGGTGTAAGGTATAATGAGTTTAACATTTAATTCCAAAATAAATTTTTCAAATCCCTTGTGTATTTTTATGATTTTATGCTTTTCCACTTATCCACAAAAAAAAATAAATAAATAACGATTTCTTCTTATTTCGAAATAAATGATATGATTTATCTACGTTCCCTTTACAGCATTCATGTGTCATCACAACACATTTCTGGTATATCAATCAATGCGTGATGCCACCATGGAGCGTTGGGAAAAGGTAACACATATATCAATAGGCTTTGCCTGGACAGTGGCAGCTCTCTTCGGAATTGCTGGCTATTCGACATTTAGGGCTTTGTCACAAGGTAAGTGTTTTATATTGCTTTCTTGGTGTTTCGGTACCATTAATATGTGTTTACATGTATGTGTGTATATGTAATTTTATATATATCTACCCTTAATATATTTTATTGCGTGTTCAAGTGTGAGTGGGCGAGTGTGTGTGAGAGTTATGTATTTATATGTTGAACATTGCATAAGTTTGAGATAAATATATGCCACAGAGGATGTGTGTGTGTGCTCTTTACAATCCTTGTGTGAAATGAAGTAAAACTGATATGAAGTGTTTACAAAAACAAATATGTACTTGTCTTGAGCACACATTTTCCCACACCCATCTACACACGCACATATTGCACTGCCGCACACAATTCTGAGAATATTTAATTTATGTATTCTTCTAAATACCAGCACTATAAGCAATTTTCCCACACACACACTCTTTTTTTGCTTAAGCAATCTTACTACACGCACAATTTAATTAATTGGAAGGAAATAATTTGTTGAAATATTTAACCTCAGAGCGTTTGAGATTTCTTCGGAAATTATTTATTATTATTAAAATGGTTTTCAAATATAATGATATCATAGAAGGGGAAAATATTTAGAGTTTTGTATAATAAGTACGAAGAACTTGCATTTAATTGTGATAGTTAAGAGTCATTGAAGTACTGGTTATCTTTACAACAGCCTGTTTATGAGAAAGTAATGCATTTCTAAAAGATAATTCGAATCTTGTAAATTGGAGACATGTATAACTTCCCCTTGATATTTTACATCAAAAAGTAACCTGATTAGAAGGCGCAAGTAATATGAAGATTATTCCGATTAATTTTTTGATGATTTTGAATCCTTTTTTTGTTTAAACAGGATTGTAGTAAGTCAAAAAATTCTACAAAATTATTTGCCATAAAAAACATCAAAAGCTTAAATGTTGCGTGAACGACAGAAATTCGTGAATATTCGTGAATATTCACTTCCATGTGAATTTAAGCAAAATTCTTCCACAAATCTTGATTTTAGAAGGATGGTGCGAAAGACAAAAATATTCTTAAGCCAATTTTACTGTAAGCCATCTCCAAAAGTAAATCTCTATTTCTTGATGTATCAAGAAAAAATCAAAATATCAAAAAAAGGGGTATATTTTCTAATTTTTTGATAAATTTTATTTTATAATGTGTGTCATTTTCACTGCTAATTGAACACGTTTCAATTTTAAGTCATAATCTCCTGCAATGCTTCAATTTTTAAGGAAAGTGCCAAAGTAAAAAATATTTTGGACTAAAATACACTAATCTACTCAGGGTGAGATGAAAAAACTATAATCAACTTCAACTGCTGTCATTTCTAAGCCACTTTTCCGACAGCTGTTGAGACTATTCCAGTGACAGCTCATTATATTGTTTACAAGGGTTCACAAGCATTTTGGTGAGAATTTTCCGGAAAAAAGTTATTCGTGATGGAATTCAAGCGTGATGTGACTTCTTTATATTTGGCTGGAAAACCACAATTGGCTATCATTAGAGCACTCCTGCATTTAAATGTGAATAAATCTTTTGTGTACCATCGCTCATACCGTGATACTAGTAGAGTAGCCCGACGTCAAATGTTTCGAAAATTAAAGAAGCGATTTGAACGAAATCGCGTAGCAGTGGCCAAAAAATGGCTCGTGAGTTGAACATATCGTTATATCCCATTCGACAAATATTACCATAACTTACACCGTAACACAAAGAAAATAGACTCAAAAGAGCTAAAGGGTTGTTTCGCTTGGCCGAAAGGGATGACCTGCCGAATTTGGTTTTCTCCGATGAGAAAACATTCGTTGTCCAGCAGTTTGTAAACAAACAAAATTACCGTGTTTACTTGCCAAAGAGGACAGCTGAATATGTGCACCTTTGATTGGCCACTCGAAATCTAGCGATGGCCATGGTGATGGTGTGGGCCGCCATAACAGCCGATGGTCGCTCTCCGCTCGTATTTATTGACCGTGGCATCAGAATAAATGCCGGATATTATCGCGAACAAATTTTCAGCACGCGTCACCCAAAAATGGTTACAAAATGAGGTTCCTCATTCCCCACCAAAATCTCCGGACACCAATCCGTTGGACTACTGTATCTGGAGTATTTTGGAAAGCAAAGTTGGCATTTAAAAATTCCAAAGTGTCGATCACCTCAAGCAAGCGCTTCGCCAGGAATGGGCCAAAATACCGCAGAGCAACATTCGGGTAGCGTCTGACTGTTTCATTGGCCGTTTGGAAGCCATAATTCGTGCGAAAGGTGACCAATTCGAACAAATTTAAACTTATTCTAAAATTTGATGCTATTTCCGACATTTTTGCTTTCAATCAATAAATTTAAAAAAAAGTTGTAAAAATTATGGCATTTGACGTTGTTGCAGTTTTTTTATCTCACCCTGTATATAAATATATATAAAAAATAAAGTTGTGTTAGTTACTACGCCTATAACTCACGAACGGCTGGACTGATTTTGATGATTCACAGCATAAATTCCAATCCATAAATCCATAGCGGTTAAATAAGTCAATATATATGTGAAACAAAAATATTTCTTTTCTGACTCTAGCTCCATCTCCATTCTAAATTTCGTGAAGATCGGGCCATAATTGCGCCCTGTAGAGTGATAAGAAATTAACATAGACAGACGGACGGACGGACATACAATGCTAGGTCGACTTAGTTCGGCAAGATAGGAAAATCCATATATACTTTCCTATGTGGAAAACAAATATATCGAGGTGTTACATAATTGTTGGCCCTATTAAACTTATAATACCACCAAGTAAAATTAAAATGTAAGGGACTAGTTGTATGACCTAATGTTTCTGCAAATATTTCGCAAAATTAAATACAGAGCTTTGAAACTAAGTAAGGGCTTCGGATCACTTCAGGAAAAAATGAATTAAAAGAAAGCTCCTTTGGTCCATTTTTTGTCCCATTATAAGGAAAATCCCAGCTTTCACACATGGTAGAAAAAGGTGGAGGCATTGAAGTTACCTGAATTACATTTTATCTTTTGGTATTCTAGCAACGTATATACCTACCCACAGTTTTTTTATACCCTACACCACATAGTGGTAAGGGTATTATGTCTTTGTGCATTTGTTTGTAACATGGAGAAGGAAACGAGATAGACCCATAGTTACTTTTGAGAACCTTCATAGAGTCACTTTCTGAGTCGATTTATGCATGTCAGTCCGTCTGTCCGTCCATCCGTCCGCCTGTCCATGTATTCTTGTGAACAAAATGCAGGTCGCATTTATTATCCGATTGAGATGAAATTTTCCAAACAATTTTTTTTTTGGCCCAAGGACGAACCCTATTGAAATTGGTGAGAATCGGATCAAATTTAGATATAGCTCCCATATATATCTTCATCCGATTTCGGGTTAAATGTGCACCAAATGTCCACTATCAGTGCACAAGAATGATATTTGGTACCAGATATAAGATACAGCCCAGAAATAGCTGTTTGTAATTTTATCGAAATCGGTTCAGATTTTGATATAGCTCCCATATATATCTTCATCCGATTTCGGGTTAATTGTGCACCAAATGGCCGATATAACTCCAAATGGACTGAATTTTAGTACATCGGACCAAATTCAGCCTAGAAGCAAGTATGTCAAATTTAGTGAAAATCGGTTCAGATATAGATATAGCAACCATATATATGTTTCATCCGATTTAGTGTTTTAGTCCCCTTACATTCGTAATATTCACTCCACAACCGTGATATTTGGTACCAGGAATTAGATGGAGCACAGGAATACCTGTTTTAAATTTTACCGAAATCGGTTCAGATTTGGATATAGCTCCCATATATATCTTCATCCGATTTCGGGTGATTGACCACCAAATGGCCGTAATAGCATCAATTTTGGCAAATCCGACCGAAACCAGCTTAGAAGCAAGTACACCAATTTTAGTAAAAATCGGTTCAGATATAGTTATAGCTCCCATATATATCTTCATCCGATTTCGTGTTAATTGTGGATCAAATGGCCAATATCAGCCCAAATGGCATGAATTTTCGTACATAAAACCGAATTCAGTCTAGAAGCTAATACGTCAAATTTGGAGAAACCCAGTTCAGAGATAGCTATAGTTCGTAAAATGTACGATATAATTAGATAGATTTTAATTTTGTACCAAATATCTCATAGAGCTCTGAAATGCCCTGTATAAACCTTTTTACGAGAGCTCTACTAAATATGCATAGTGGTGTTGGGTATCATATAGTCGGCCCCGCCCGACTTTTGAGCTTTCCTTACTGGTTTTTTTTTTTTGTATGTGTATCGAATAATTATATAATTCTGTAGGGTCTATCAGGAGTATTCCGGGGAGTTACAAACGGAATGACAAAGTTAATGTACCCTCCTTAGAATTGTGGATGGTATAAAAATTTTCAAGAGTATGGAAGTTTCTATTCAGGTTACTTAGCGATGTAAACTTTCAAAACGCTTATGGAAGTTTCTTCTATTTGTAGCTTCACTTTTATAATCTACTGAATATAATCTACTAACATTTTTCACAAAAAAAAAAAAAAAAAAAATCAAAGTGTTTTCTACTACCAGGTATGCAATAATTTTTTTTATTTTAGCGTATAGATATATTTTCTTATGTTCCTCTCAACTCTCACAAAATTGATTTAAAAAAAAAAAAAAAATAAAATAAATTCATATTTTTAAATTTCCTCGGTGAAACACACACGCATTTTATATTGCTCTTATCAGTTTGAACCTCAAATAAAACTATGCGGTGTCTACAATATACACATAATTTTGGTTTCTGTTTCTTTTTTTTCACAGTTTTGAAAGAATAAGCAATTTGATTGTAATTTATGTGTGAACGATTTGAGGTTTCCCACAAGACGTTATTGTGGTTTCTGTGTCAAACTGTTCTTATCTGTTAAGCGTGTGTGCGCTAGTTGCCTTTTATATAAAATTGATATTTAAAGTATATGGTTCGTGACATTTAAAAGAAACATTAAATAATGCACAATTTTCGAATGATCGTACAAAATCTTCAGATAATTTAAAAATGGACAAAGACTTCTACTTTAACTCGATAACCCGTCCTTCACTTTTGTCTATAAACAAGTAAAAAAGCTGTAAGTTCGACCGGGGCGAACTTTGAATACCCTCCACCATTTAAAACGAATTTCGCAATTCTCAAAAACAATAAAATCCGTTAAATATTCTGTTAAAATCTAAAAATACCGAAAAAACCTGCATAGGTTACTTTTGTCATAAGCCATTACAATATTCAAATGCTAAACTTAAAAACCAGTAAAGAAAGTCTTAAAGTCGGCCGACTTTATGATACCCTACACCACTTTGCTAATTTAGTAGAGCTCCGTATAACAATTAAAAGTTTTTATGGGAGAATTCAATAATACACGCTATGATGATCATTTAAAGTTCGAAAGACTAAATATACCGAAGCATTTGTATCTTTTAAATTCGGACTTGTATTGCCCATTTGGTGCACAATTAATTTGAAATCGGATAAAGATATATATGGGAGCTATATCGAAATCGAAACCGATCTCGATAAAATTTGGCAAAGATATTTCTGAGCTGTATTTGATATATTTCCCTGAATATCGTTGTTATGGAGTGCATATTACGGCTGTGGGTAACAAATACAACAAATCGGATGAACAGGATATATGGGAGCTATACCTATATCTGAACCGATCTTCACCAAATTTGACATACTAGCTTCTAGACAGATCAGATCATCAAAAGGAACTATAGGTCTATCTCGTTTCCTTTTGCCTGCTATAAACAAATGCACAAAGACATAATACCCTGACCACCTTGTGGTGTAGGGTATAAAAACAATTCCGGGGAATTATGTCGCTAAAATCAACAAAATAGCGAATTTCGGGAGGTACCGTTATATGGGGGTTATACGAAGACGTGGTCCTGCACAGACAATTTTCTGCATCGGCATTACGAACATCAAATACCAAATTTGAAAGAATTCCGATGAATAATATTGCTTAAATCATTAAAATACCGAATATCAGGAGGTACCGTTATATAAGGGCTATACCAAAACGTGGACCTACATCGCCCATTTTCAATAACAAAAGTCCTGCAGACATAATATACATTTGGGTAAAATTTTATCAATCTACATCAATCGTTCGGAAGCTAGAGTAATTTCTACAGACGGACGGACAACGCTTAATCGACATAGAATTTTATGCTGATCAAGAATATATATACTTTGTGGGGTTTAAAATGTATATTTCGAGGTGTTACAAACGGAATGACGAACTTAATATACTTCTCCATAGGGGTAAAATGTTCCCATATTCGTGATCTTATAAGGTATTTTTCTGGAGGACTAAAAGAGCATTAATATGTTGTTATATAAAATATTATCACCCCCACAAAAGGTAAAAAATAACAATAACTGTAGTACTATATGAAATTAACGACCGATTTTTTTTCAATTTTAGCACATTTCAATATATTGGCATTTCCTCCATCGGTTTTTGGATGAAGAAATTTCGGAAATGTGGAAAAAAAGTGTTGCGTATATCAAAAATTCGGCACATGTACCTTCCCACAAAAGTTCATAATAATAGCTTGCGCAATTGTTAAATAAGTTTCCTATTTTTTCAAACTTGGCATATCCCAATTTGTCAGAATTAGATCAAACGATTCTCGATAAAATTTATATCTATATCTATGAAAGAGGAAAATTATTGTATGTTTGTTTGTTTGCAATTTATGGACTCGAAAACCGCTTTTCCTGAAAAATTCCAAGTATACTACAACATCGCCTGAAAGTAACATAGGCTACATCCCAAAATATTAGATTTAATTTGCACATATCTATTGATCGATTACAGATATAGTCTCCTACTTTGGAATGTGTAACAGAATTTGAAACAAACATACATTAGTCAAATTATATTGAAATCGGTTGAGGTTTGGTAATATGGCTTCCATAAATATTTTCGGCCAATTTCACATATAACTGATTAAATTTGGTAAAAAAATAAATTTGTCAAATTCCATTCAAATCGGTTCAGATTTGGATACAGCACCCAAATTTATTTTCGGGCGATTTTACATATTTGATGCAACCAACGCAATTTGTGTGTCCGCTTCCAATAAAATTGGGAAAGAGAGGCGAAATTTGGTATCAAAAAAAAGTTTGCCAATTTATATTGAAATCGGTTGAGGTTTGGGCGTGGCTCCCATATATATATATATATATATATATATATATATATATATATATATATATATATATATATATATATATATATATATATATATATATATATATATATATATATATTTCGGTCGATTTCAAGTATAGAGTGAGATAAAAAAAAAAACTGCAACAAAGTCAAACGCCATAATTTTTTTTTTTTATTTTCATTGAATGAAAGCAAACAAGTAAAAACATTAAGTTTGGCCGAGCCGAACTTTTAATACCCTCCACCTTAGGGTATATGAAACATAAGAACCCATTATGACCCACTGATATCAATTTGTAGACAAATGCGCGAAGAAATGTGGCAAAAATCATCAAAATACCGAACATAGGGTCCGCTATGTGAGGTCATACGAAAAGGTGGACCTATACAAACAATATTTTACCAACGGAGCTAGAACCCATTAGAACCCAGAAATGCCCATTTTTAGACAAATCCGCGAAGAAATGTAGCAAAAATCATCAAAATATCGAATATCTGGAGGTACCGTTATATGAGGCTATACCAAAACGTGGACCTATACATACAATGCTTCGCCACTGAAGCTAGAACCCATTATGACCAACAAATACCATCTTTTAGACAAATCAGTGAAAAAATGTGACAAAAACTATCAAAGTACCGAATATCGGGAGGTACCGTTGTATGGGGTCGATAAAAAAAATTCAATGTTTCGCCACACGATCTAAAACCCATTATAACTACAAATACCAATTTTTAGAAAAATCCGTGAAAAAATGTGACAAAAATCATCAAAACACCGAATATTGGGAGGTACGGTTATATGGGAGCTATACCAAAAGATGGGCCTATATATATAATGTTTCGCCACTGAAGCTAGAACCCATTATGACCTACAAATACCAATTTTCAAATCAGTGAAAAAATGTGGCAAAAATCATCAAAATACCGAATATGAGAAGGTACCGTTATATGGGGACTATACCAAAACGGTTGGACCGATTTATCTCCTTTTCAATACCGACAATTCTGGACACTATACACATTTTCTCCAAAATGTTGACGCTCTATCGAGATTTCAACAGACAGAGAGACAAACGGACATCGTTAAATCGACTTAGAATTGTATGCTGATTATGAATATATATATATATATATATATATATATATATATATATATATATATATATATATATATATATATATATATATATATATATATATACATATATATATGTCTATATATATATATATATATATATATATATATATATATATATCCTTCCTTCAAGGTGAAGGGAAATAGCATCAAAATATTTTCTGGAAAATTCTCACCAAAATGCTTTTGTACGCTTGTGTACAATATAATGAGCTATCACTGGAATAATTTTAAGAGCTGTCGGACGAGTGGCTTAGATATGACAGGAGTCTGAAGTTGGTTTTTTCATCTCACCCTGTATAGCCTCTGTGTACAGGAGTTTCAAAAATTGAGGGATAACGAATATAACCAAGTTTTTCATGTCAAGATGATATATATGTATGTACATATGTATTTTAAGTTCAGTCTGGTCGGGTGCAAGGTATTTAAAGTTTAGTAAAAAATAATTTAATTATCCTGGCAGTATTTCAAGAAAACACTTAAAATTCCTTATTCTTTTGCAATTCTAAAAAAATATATAATAAAGTATTATGATATTTAATTATTCAAAATTTGACCACCATCATCCTCGAATGTATGTCAGATATTACTCATTGAGTTCACAATAATCTACTTAGACCAAAACGGAAATATTATAAAACTTAATATATTACAATATTAATGTTAAAATTATTATTATTAATTGAAAAAATGTATGTACACATGTATGTATTAATATATCTCACCTTTGCACTTATTCTAGATGAAGAGCACAACTATTTTCTCAAAACACCTCCACTAACTCTGTACAAAGACCTCTTAAAAACATTTGTGTCTTCCACAATCTCTATCCAGCACCGACATCACTCAATTTCAAAACTTTGTTGCTTGTGATAAATTTTTGGCACACACTCTATCTCTCTCAATTCTTCTTCTTCTTCTCCTTTGTGTACAAAACTCTACACAACATAAATGTCGTAATTTGTTTTGTAGATAAGTTTGTAATTATTTCCATGTAATCGAAATTGAATTGAAAATTTAATTTAATTGTTTCAAGGTGATTTACTTGAAAACTACTGCTGGAATGATGACCTGATGAATTTCTCACGTGTACTCTTCTCTATATCGATATTATTAACTTTTCCTATTGAATGTTTTGTCTCAAGAGAGGTATAAATGAAAGTAACAAGAACAAAAAATAATTAATTTCAAATTATGTCCTTTGTTCCAACAAGATCCTTGAGAAGGTGTTTTCCTACTAATCTTTGTGTGTTTTATAGATTGTAAGAGCCATGGTCCACAGGTTTGTGTTGAAGGAACCCATCAGCGAGTTGACAACGGAAAAGGATCCGAAGAGAGAAAAGGGAGCCGAGACAGATGAGTATTCACGTAACATAACACTGGCCATTGTCTTTAGTGCTTTTGTCATATCACCCATGACGGAATGTTTGGGTTCAGTGTTGGAATTGAATGTAAATTGAATTCGAAATGAATTAAAAATAAAAATTGAAAATAATTTTACCTTTTCCGTAGGGCCTTCTGGCAGCCATACCTCTGGCCTATATCTTACCCGGCTTGGCATTCATCCAGCTGGATCCAAACCCCTTGACCAGCCGTGAAAAGTTACCTGCCCTGGGTCTGGTGATTTTTGGTGCTCTAGTTACTATTTTGGGTGCTGCGGTACTCCTGCCAAGTCTCAGCGAAGACTGTCGCGCCGACATTGTGATGGGCTATTGCAAGCAGAATACATTAAGTGATAATGCTACCATAGCAAATTAGATTAAGCATGAAAAGCGAAAACTCCCTCCCACTAACCGACCCCCCACACACACACACACACACACACAAGAAGAGAGTATTATTATTGTTAGTAGAGTATCTCATACATTATTTATTAGCAACTTGTTAAAACTGCAATATATCGAACAAAAAAAGTGAAAGAACAAAATCGAACAAAGCAACCAATACATCCATATGAAAAGTGTTATATTTTTAAGTATATATAAACAAATACTCACAAATCAAATTATATAGCAATTCTATCAAACTGACAAAAAAAGGTATAGTTCGTAAGAGAGCAAGATTCGTACATATATATTTACAATGGAAGGTGGCAATTTGAAATTTGTTAAAACTTTCGTTTACCAGACTTGTTGGCAAAATATTTGAGCAAAATATGTTTTTAAGAAGATATTTTAAAACAGAATTGTTGCATTATTACTTGTAATTTTTGTGCATAATTATACCCAACACCACAAGGTGGTCAGGGTATTATGTATTTGTGCATTTGTTTGTAACAGGCAAAAGGAAACGAGATAGACCCATAGTTCCTTTTGATGATCTGCATAGAATCACATTCTGTGCCGATTTATGCATGTCCGTCTGTTCGTATGTCCATGTATTTTTTTGTAAACAAAGTACAGTTGGCATTTATTGCCCTACCCAGATGAAATTTTGCATAAATCATTTGTTTGGTACAAGGACGAACCCTATTGAAATTGGAGATAATCGGTCCAAATTTAAATATAGCTCCCATACATATCGTCGTCCGATTTGCTTTTTTATTGTGCACCAAACGTGTAATATCAGTCCGAATAGTATGGAAAATTTGATCGAAATCGATTCAGATACAGCTATAGCCCCCATATATATTGTTCATCCGATTTGTTATTTTTCTCCTCCGCAGCCGTAATATGCACTCCATAACAACGATATTCAGGGAAATATATCAAATAAAGCACAGAAATACATTTGATAAATTTTATCGAGATCGGTTCAGATTTGGATATAGCTCCCATACATATTTTTATCCGTTTTCAAATTAAATGTCCACCAAATGGGCAATACAAGTCCGAATTTAAAATATACAAATGTTTCGGCATATTTAGTCCTTTGAACTTTAAATTATAATTATAATCATAGCGTGTATGATGGAAGCCCCGCCGACTTTAAGATTTCTTTACTGATATTTTTCTTTAAGAGACATTTTTTAAAGAACTGATAGACCAACCAAGTACAAAATATTTTTTTTTATTATTTCTTATGTATTATAATTTTTTTTTAAAAATTTCTACAACCTCCCCCCCCCCCCCCCCCCCCCATCCTTCAATGTTGGGTATGTTAACTTTGACATTCCGTTTGTAACTCCTCGAAATATATACAAAGTATATTTTCTATATAGGTCCACAATATCGTATACCCCCCATACAACGGTACCCCCCGATATTCGGTCTTTTGATGATTTCAGCCAAATTTTTTATGGAATTGTCTTAAAATCCACACAAGGAGTTCCTTGTGAGTACTTTACACCCTAGAATAGAATTGTCTAAATAGGTCGACGTTTTAGTATAGCGCCCATATATCAGGTATTTTCATTATTTTTTTTGCGGCAAATTTACCAGAATTGTTTTAAATTTTGTTTCTGAATTCATCATTTGAAGTTCAGGAATCGTTACTACAATCTATGACAACAAAAAAATACTTATGCAGATCCACGTTTTCGTGGACCCATACATGCAATGTTTCGCTATCGGAGCTGGAATCCGTGAAAAAAATTGGCAAAAATAATCAAACTACCGAATATCGGGAGGTACCTTTATATGGGGGCTATACCAAAACGGGAACCTATACATGCTATGTTTTGCCACACGTACAGGGACCCGTTATCACCTACAAATACCAATTTTCAGACAAATCCGTGAAAAAATGTGGCATAAATCATCAAAATACCTAATATCGGGAGGTACCGTTATATGGGGACTATACCAAAACGTAGACCTATACATATAATGTTTCGTCGCACGAACTAGGACCCTTTATGACCCACAAATACAAATTTTTAGACAAATGAGTGAAAAAATGTGGCAAAAACCATCAAAATTCCGAATATCGGGAGGTACCGTTATATGGGGACTATACCAGAACGTGGACCAATATATCTCATTTTCAATACCAACCATCCTAGACATAATAGAATATAATGAGCTGTCACTGGAATAATTTTGGGCCGTTATATGGGGTTATTGGAAAACGTGGACCTACATACCCAATATTCCAACACAGAAACTGTTATGAAATTCAAATACCGAATTTTAATTTATTCCGTTAGAAAATATGGCTCAAATCGTCAAAATAGCAGAAATCGGGATGTACAATTATGTGAAGGCTATACGACCTGTATAGACAATGTTCTGCCACAAGAAAAAATCCATTCTTCATGGGGAGGTACCTTTATATGTATAAGGGCCTTTATATGTATAATATTCTGCCACACGATGTAAAACCCGTTATGAAGTCTAAATTCCAGATTTTAAACTGTTGCGTTAAAAAGGGTGTCTAAAATCGTAAAAATGCCGAATATAGGGATTTATGGTGGGTGCTATATAAAAACGTTATGAAGCTCATCTTCGAACTTGACATGCTTGCAGACAAAAACAACTCAAATCCTATAACTAAATCATAGATTTCTTTCACATGCCGTTTGGAGTCTGGAGTGATTACAACAGAAGGACAGACGGCAGGCTAAATCGAATTAGAATCATACCATCGGCAAGAATTAGAATCCTACGATGGGTCAAAAATTACTATTTTTATGCATTACAAACAGCATGATAAACTTAATATAACCTTCATAGTATGCATAGTGAAGGAAAAAATATGATAGAGAGTTGTGTAAAACTATGTATCTAAAAAAGACAAAAACATTATATGGAACACTTAAGCATGACATGGACGATATACCTCATGGATTCTCCGACGAATATTTCGACCCACTACTATAGGGTAGAGGCTATAGAAAAATTGATATCACGTAGTCAGTCCCGCCTGAAGATTATCTTTTTTATACCCTACACCACAAGGTGGTCAGGGTATTATGTCTTTGTGCATTTGTTTGTAACAGGCAGAAGGAAACGAGATAGACCCATAGTTCCTTTTGATGATCTGCATAGAATCACATTCTGAGTCGATTTATGCATGTCCGTCCGTCCGTCTGTCCGTCCGTCCGTCTGTCCGTCCGTCCGTCTGTCCATGTATTTTTGTAAACCAAGTACAGGTCGCATTTATTGCCCGATCCAGATGAAATTTTGCACAGATCCTTTGTTTGGCCCAAGGACGAACCCTATTGAAATTGGAAATAATCGGTCCAAATTTAGATATAGCTCCCATATATATCTTCGTCCGATTTGCCTTTTATTGTGCACCAAACGTGTAATATCAGCCCGAATTGTATGGAATTTTGCATATACACCCAAATTAGGTCTGAAAATATGTATGCCAAATTTGATTGAAATCGGTTCAGATATAGCTATAGCTCCCATATATATTGTTCATCCGATTTGTTATTTTTGTCCACCGCCGCCGTAATATGCACTCTGCAACAACAATATTTGGGGAAATATATCAAATGCAGCTCAGAAATACATTTGCTAAATTTTATCGGGATCGGTTCAGATTTGGATATAGCTCCCATATATAACTTCGTCCGATTTGCCTTTTATTGTGCACCAAACGTCTAATATTTGTCCAAATGGGATGGAATTTGGCACTTACGACTGAATCGGGTCTAGAAGGTAGTATGTCAAACTTGGTGAAGATCGGTTCAGATGTAGCTATAGCTCCCATATATATTGTTCATCCGATTTGTCATATTTGTTACCCACAGCCGTAGTATGCACTCCGTAACAACGATATTCAGGGAAATATATCAAATACAGCTCAGAAATATCTTTGCCAAATTTTATCGAGATCGGTTCCGATTTGGATATAGCTCCCATATATATCTTTATCCGATTTCAAATTAATTGTGCACCAAATGGGCAATACAATTCCGAATTTAAAAGATACAAATGCTTCGGCATATTTAGTCCTTTGAACTTTAAATTATAATTATAATCATAGCGTGTATGTTTGAATTCTCCCATAAAAACTTTTATTTGTTATGTGGAGCTCTACTAAATTAGCAAAGTGGTGTAGGGTATCATAAAGTCGGCCCCGCCCGACTTTAAGGCTTTCTTTACTGGTTTACAGGTTATATTTAACTAGTAAAAAACATTAAGTTCGGCCGGACCAAACTTTTAATTCCCTCCACCTTAGGGTAAAGGAAACATTAGAAGAAATGTGACAACAACCGTTAAAATACCGAATATTGGTGGAGGGTATAAAAATTCAAAATCTACTCATATCATTCTGTGATTTTTTTTGTCAAAAACTCTGGTAAATTGAAACTGTCATAGAGGGGAAAATATTTTTCTATAAAAACAAATCAAAGCAGCATTATAACCTTATTATATTATTTAGCAACGAAAAACAAATACGAAAAAGACATCATTTAAATTGATAAAATATTAGTTTTAGAATCCAGACAAAAATAATGTAGAAATCCACTTGAAATGAAATTTATTAAAAAATATTCACATAAATTCATATTTATCTATCACATTTTTTCTCTCATTATATTAAATGGAATTTACACAGACATACACAAAATTTCTTGCAATAATATGACAAAAACATATTAGGAACATACATGCATACATTTAAGATGTTGAATTAAAACAGACAATGTACAAAAGAAACTTCACCAGAAACCAAACAGAGAGACATGCATACATACACAGACAAACTATATGACCAAAAACAAACTCAAAATACCAGTATATTTGTAAAATATATATATATATAAAACAAAAGAGAAAATTATGATTATTTAGATTTTCTTTGAATAAAATGTAAATGTAATCAAACAAAGAACAAATCAAAACAAATGCAAAGACAAACTGCATTAAATATTTACAATGAATAACTTTTGCAAAATCCAAACCACCACCATTAATTGACAAAGCTGAAGCAGATACAAGTGCAGAAGGACATGGATTATTTGATGTGTAAACAACAGTTCCTAATTTGTAAAGAAATGAATAGTTGCTATGGATGTGCAAACAATCCATACAAACAAAGGATTGACAAGCTTTATATGGTTAGAGATTGTAGGGAATGAAGATGAATGAGGAAAACAAAGATTTTTCTATAACACAAATATTTAAATTAAACCTAATTTCACATAATGAGTTTTATACTTTACTTTTCCAAACATTTATGCCTGGCTTAAAATTATGTAATTAATTTTTTTTGTCATGCTATAAGAAAAACAGTTAAGATCAATCTTACGAACTTCGCGTTCTATTTTTCTATTGCCAATTCGTTTTTACGTAAATCTCTACTAAGGGCCAAAATATATTAAATACAACTTTTGTAGTTTTTTAATTTGTAAAATATACAACACCTATACACAAATAATTGGGAAGCAACACAAAACAATCTTTAAATTTTTCTATCAATATTAAATTTTTTTATGTAAAGTGAGCTTAACAAAAACATATCAGAAAATTTTTGTACATTTTTTAAATACGAAATATTCATTCATAATTATAAAATATTGTATATTCTACGGCACATCCAAATACTAAACTATTTACTTGTTTATGATTATTTGGCAGGAAACTTCAGTTCCTTCTTTCAAGAACAAAATCAAAGGGTATTTAAGAAAGTCGATTTACAAAACAGTCCAGAAGGGATGAAAGCGGAAGGATTGGACCAACATAAGAAAGGAAGATATTATTTCGCATTTCGAAGAAGTATACCGATCTGACACAAATATTTGAACATATGTACGTTACGTGACATATATAATGTTTTTTTTGGGGAAAGATGTAAGAAGTATTGGACTGACAAAACTTCATTTCCATTCAAGACCAAAAAAAGGAAAATTAAGTAGAAAAATAAACTAGAATTAAAACAATTAAAAAGGATGTAAGTTCGGCCCTGCCCTCACGGTTGGAAGCAATCTGCAAGTTTCCAAAAACAAAAAAAAAAAAAAAAAAAAAAAAAAAAAAAAAAAAAACGGAAGCTAACTTCGTCCGGGCCGTACTTTTAAGACCCTCCACCATTTAAAGGAACTCGAAATTTTT